CTTTAAAAACCTAATGAAAAACACACTGAATTTTCCAAAGCTTCTTTCTAGTCAGGCCCCCTGCTGAGATAAAAGGTCAGCAAAGAGAGAGTGAGAATGGGAGGAGGCCAAGAGGAAGAGGAACAGAAAAGGTATTTTACAGGAAAGATAAATTTAATGCAAGTCAGTAGTGAAGCTGATAGTCCAGAGTGATTATTTTCTTTGAATGCCAGATGTTGGCCTCTTTCATAAAGGAAAATAAGATATAATCCACTTAAAAACAAATACACACAGTCATATTTCCCCTGCTGCAGTGTCATTTGCAGATAGAAATTATATGTTATACTTAACAGGAAAAAAAATGTTGTGGAGCTTGTTTGCTGCATTTGTGATAGTTCCCTACTGCCACCTACAGGAAATATTCTAAATGGACACTAATACATACTTGAGGTTGTTGATTCAATAACCTAAACCTGTCTCTGTGTAGTTTCATTTTCTGGAACACTTACACTGAAAAACCTTGCAGTGAAATAATATTTTGTATCTTCATGCTTTCTAGCAGTGAAAGTAAACATAGTCTGCTAAAGTCATTGGTGAAGTTGGTAATGTATACTTAGTGCAAAATATCAGGTGTAAGAAAAAAACAAATTGTTGATGTTTCCTAACTCGTACTTTTTCCACTATTAGTGAAATAAGCAATATTTTGTTTAATTATTTTATGGGTTTTTTTTCTCCCTTCAAGAATGATGCCTAGAATAGGAAAACATGCCTTGGGATACCTGAACAATGGCGTATATAAGTGCACAGGGAGTTTGCCCAATGTGACTATACACACCGTAATGCAGAGTCAAATTGACTTTGCTCCTGTTCAGATCTCTCTGGACATTTTTGTTAAAGGGACACTGTAGGCACCCAGACCACTTCAGCTCATGAAGTGGTCTGGGTGCAGTGTCCCTTTTGCACTTAGTGCTGCAATATTAAACATTGAAGTTCCAAGTGAAACTGCAATGTTTACATTGCCGCTCTAAGTCTGCCTCCAGTGGCCGTCTACCAGACAGCCACTAGAGGGCTTCCTGGATTGAAACGAACCTTTGGTCCAGTATCTGACACTGGGCGTCCTCATGCTCTGCATGAGGACCTCCAGCGTCATGTTTTTCCCCACAAGAAAGCATTGATTCAATGCTTTTCTATTGGGAGGTCTAATGTCTAATGTGTGTAGACTCCGCTCGTTGTAGGATTTTGAAGGGGGTGGAGCGTCGGCTCAGCACAAAGGGACATCAGCGCTAGGATCAGGTAAGTAAATTAAAGGTTTTAACCCTTTATTTACCCGGGCGGGGGCGGGGGCGGGGGCGGGGGTGGGGGGGGACAGGAGGGAGGCAGAGCAAGTGATAGTGCCAAGAGTACAGCTTCATATTCCTGGTACTATTTTATCCCTTTAAATTCAGCCAGATTGTTATGTTTTTAAAGGTCACTGTATATACCTTTGTTATCATTTGAGCAAAAAATTTTATTTTGCACCTCGTTATTTAATCTTGAGTTTTATTAAGTAAAGTTTAGATGGTAGTTTTCTTATATTATATGCTGAATATGCTAAGCACTATATTATATAATGCTGAATATGATGAGCACTCACAGCAACTGTGCACCCAGCATCATGGGTTCAATGGTATGTGCAGAATGTGCCAGAACAGCGAAGTTTACAATTTACATTAAAAAGATAAAACCATTTGGAATTTTAAAAAATGAAAAATAATTTAAAAAAACAAAAACAGTTGTACAGCCTACAGCTAACTTTTACTTTGGTATCAATTTAGGCAAAAATCTCCGATAAGATAGTTCCAGTGTAAATTAACTTTGTAATGCAAAACCCACTGCTCACAGATTATTTTATGAACGTTTGGATTATATCAAACACTTCTTAAATTGTTTGATATTAAACAGGAGTATGGCATGCATAAACATTACAGTGAGCTATAATGCTTGTGTTCCTTAGAATAATTTTTTTTTTCTAGTTACAGGACACTGGTACACATTAAAGTAGCTCTGTCACCAAAAAAAAACTTTATTTAATCTGTTTCTATATTACTCTCTATGTTTGAATCTCTCTTTATTTTTCTTCATGCATGTTGTAGTTTTCATAAAATATGTAAGCAAAGGTATGGACTTTTTTTCCTTGTGTATCGTAGTCAATTTTGTTACAATGGACGGGGCTTAAAACAAGGTTTTGTTTCAGTTGCCAGTCAAATTTACCCACGATCCATCAGTAGAATCAATCCCACAGAAGGGAAATTGCAGACATTATAGACAGAGAAAAACAAAATGGCTGCTCCCAGATATTGAGATACAGCACAAGAAAGAAAAGATAATAAATATTAACAAAGGCAAGTGGCAAAGAAGTATAGGGCATAAAGAAAGGAAAACCAAAATAAAAACATGGCAGGGCCCCTTTAAATTTTGTTGTTGTATAAGACCACTATTTGTTATTTGGGGATCTCAAAAAAAAAGATTTGATTAATATTTTGACATTAGTATTTCTTTCAGACCTGAGCAAAGTTAGTTTAGCTACATAGAAGCTATCTTTGTAGCAAGGTTTTATGGCTTATAAAATTTACTTTATTTTCACCCACTGATATTTGTAGCAGTATGTTGCCCCAAATTGGATTTTTATTTTCACATTACATTTTTTCTGCTAATTCTTAGCTGCTAACATATGGTTTAGTTGGTTGTAACACGGATAAGGACAAAAGTCTCCATTTTATCATCAAGATTTTTTGTACTTTTAAGGGCTATAAGGAGATGGTGACTGGCCAGGGTGTTTTTTGGCTCTGCCCCCGCACTGCCTCCTTGGCAGAGATCATCAGGACTGACAATCTCAGCCAATCCAATGCTTTCTTAAAGG